GTGTGAGAGTGAGCCAGAAAGTCAGTGAGAGTAGGGTTCTGTGTGTCAGTGAGTTCAGCGAGTGAGAGAAATTATGATTAGCAACTTGTGATTTACCTATTATATTTTCCTGATCAAATAAACAAGTTTAAGTTTCAAAGCAACACATGTCTCAGTAAATAATTGGTACTGAATTGATATTGGTGGCAGCAACTTGTGAAAAAGAGAGAGCACCTCCTGAAGGCCTGAGATAATAGAGGCTTCAGTGTGCTCGCTACAAGCACCTCTCTCTCATCAAAATGTTTTTCAGCCACCAGTCAAAACAGTAAGTAAGATAAAAAACAATGCCTTGCAGCAAGTAACATTAGCAGTTCAGTCTTTTTCTTCAGTCTCAGGAATTAGGGGTAGGTCCTCCAATAAATTCTGCTCCTGCTACAGGAGGGAGGGTCGCCTCCACTGCAGTGCCAAAGGAAATCAAGGAAACAAAGATGCCTCTGATCTGGTGTTATTACACAATTTAAGACTCTTTTTAAGTTTCAAAGTTCTATTTTCTGATTCTAGTTTCCTCCATCAGCATTGTAATTAGACAGTTTATGATTAAACTATTTTGCAGGAACAAGTCTTTGTCTTTGGTTAAACAGTTCATTCACCAAATAACTTTTTCTCCTCCTCCTTCTTTCTCCTTCTTCTCCTTTTCCTAATCAAGGCTGAGGGATGGGATGTGTGCTCACTCTACCATGGCTTGAAGGGTTACAGGATCTAATCTGCTTTCATTAACTCGTTAAGCCCAGCTTTGTTCTGTATCATTGTTTTGGGTCCATAAACATTTCTTTATATAAAACACATATCTTGACTTACTTAAGAGTCCTGGTCAGGATATTTTCCAAAATCTTTCTGTACTCCTCTGCTCTCTGCAAGGGGTGTTCCCAGCTCTTTGCCCAACATGGCTTCCACCTCAGTCCGTGCACTCAGAAAAGACTTAAGGTGGAAAAAAAAGCAGCTTCCTTCCACCAATTTCTCTCCCCTTTCTGTCACTTCTGCTGCTTCAGATGCCACTTTTCTAGTGGACTGTTCTTTTGTCCCCTTCATTGGGGGCCTCAGAACCGAGGGGTCCGAGTCAGTTTCTGGAGCTCTCTCGAAACCCAACCGGTCTCGCCATGACAAAACCCTGCCTTCTATGTTTGGCTTTATTTCTTGGCGAGGTGGGAATGTGAGAGTGGGACTTACCTGTATCTGCACCATCCATTTATCTGTTCACTTTTTAAGACATAATCTATGCCTGGATAGGTCTGTCTAATCTATTGTAAGGATAAAAATAGGAGAAAGACCCCCTATGCCACCTCAAGGCCCATGGTGAAACCTCAGTGTATACATGTAACAAATATTCAAATGAATAAAATAGTGAAAGAGCTTCTTTGTATTTCTTGGGGCCAATGAAGTTGAGACTCAGAACTATAAATATCCTAAGATTCTTGAAAACGTCCTGAGAAAATGGTGCTTTATGTTATCCTAGTCATTGGTTTCCAACCCCACAGAAATCTTCCCCTACCTTCTGAGGCTCTCCAGATAAATTTCATCTGATGCTGTTTGCAGTTTAGCATTTGAATGAGCAGGCAGCCCTGTGAAACTCAGCATGTGTGGCAGTGCTGATTCCTACAGATGTATTTACGCTGTTAGGCGGTCTCATTAAATTGTGAAATATCCCACTGGCCACATCCAGGTGCAGTACTGAATCTCTGATGTTGACCCAGTTACTTTGACACACTGTCTCAGTATATTTGATCACTTTGTCCAAATTCAAGATCGCTCGGTGTGCATGTGTGCACGGTTTTTCAGTTCACCTGATGAACTCACAGCTAACTCATTTCTCTAGGGATTTGAGGAGGCAGTGCCAAAATTTGCTTGGGCGTTGAAATTCAAAGAGAACTGTGATAATCAGGAAGACAAATGCACATGTGAATACGTACATACAGTATATCACTTATTGGAAGCTCCATCTTTAACCTTTTCTTTTCATGCAACCATTCTATTTGCAGAGAAATTGAAGTATTGATATAGTGTTCATTTCCTGCTGGTGTTCAGTTGAGTGAGGATTTGCCTATTTCTGGCATATGCTTCCTATCAGAGTAATTATGGCAAGGCCACAGAGCTAATTGCTTGATGGTACTTGTACAGAGTTCCTGGGCATGTACTCTTCATCAGTGGAAATTATTGTATAAACTTGTTTTCCTGAAACCTTTTCAGAGTTTTTTTTTTTTTTACACACACAAGAAGAACCTCTAATATCACACCTGTGTTGAACTACACTTTCAAATCATATTAGCAATTGTGGGTGTTGTTATCTTCATTATAATTTTCCTTGTTTCTCTGCATGCTGCACTTCATTACAATTAAAATTCCTGCACTCCCACAGGTCTATACACTTAAAATTTCTGGGTCATCATAATCTTTATCATAAGCGGGTAATTAGCTAGTCAGTGAAATGCAGTTGCTTTTCATGCACAGTGCAAGACTGGAACTATTTTTCCAACTGATAGAATAGCTTAGGGTATGCACGAGTTTATCTTTTAAATTTTGGCGGTTTCTACCGACAGCGCCTCCTACTCAGAATAGAACATAAGGATTTGCCTGATACCACTCCAGGTAAAATGTTTCTCTCACTGAAGTTTGACCAGTCATGATCCTCCAAGTGTTTTGGATCACAATTTGCATTCCACTTGGCTAAACTGACTAGAGCGGACAGGAATTGTTGGCCAAGAGAAGGCCACAGTTGTCTACCTTTGATATAACCCATCCTTCCAGAATCTCAGTCACGTAGTGTTTGCCTCTAATTTTGGGGATTGGCCCACGACATTTTGAATTCCTGAAGAGCACATGATACACTCAGTTCCCACAATCAAGTCGCTGAGTACTAAAAATCTTACAACTTCCTCTCTGCGTTTATGGTGGTGAAAATGAAACCATAATGAATTGAACCACAAACAATTTCCTATTCTTTCATCTCAGCTAAAATGTGCTGAGTGGCTACCTCCTTATGCCTAATGATAGAGCTGGTGCTGCATAATACTCTTTTTAACTGAAGGCATTAGGGGTCTATCTGTCAACCTGCATATCTTCCAACACTGAATTAAAACCCCTCTGTTCCTTTGTTTGCCTTATGATGGGAGTCTTTTGCCTTGACTGAGTAACTTGGTTCTTTTTAAAAGAATTTGCTGCAACAATTTTTTTCACCCATCTGTCTTAGCCAAACTCAATAGTTATAGTCAGCATAAAGACAATTGCATTGTACCTGCCTGCCATATATATGATAGAAATCGTGATATAATATTTCATCCCTAATTCCTTGTTTTTGCTTCCTAACCCATTTGGGGGCACTTGCTACTATTCTTAAGTTTGTTTCTGTTTGTTCAAGGGGGAAGACGACACACTGCGATTGTTTCACAAGTGAGAGATGTGTTTCCTAGACACTCAAAAAGTGGATATATTGTCTGTCATCTCTGAGATCTGAAGTCTACAGTAAATCTCATTTATCCTTTCTGGCAAAGACCTATCAACCCTCAATCGGTGTACCACCTGGCTGAGCAGTGCAGCTGAAAAGAACAGTGTGGTAAGTTGTAGATCTTGAAGAAACATAGAGTTTGAGAGGAAAATATGGAAGTATGAATTCTTGGCTTTTTTAATGTAACTGTTTTCATGCAAGTTATGATTTATTTTTTGTTTAGATAGTGTCCCTGGAGCTGTACATAGAAGAGAGCCAAGCTAACAGGTCTCTTTCCATTGGGCTTATATGGTCCCTAGTAGAACACAGAAGTAACGCTGGAAAGTAACCTGTTACAAGTAGTAAATATTGCTACTTGTAACTGCTTATTTTTTGCTAGTACTTCTATCATCATGGTGTTTCTGATCTTGCTAAATGGAGATAGAGCACATGGTTCAAATACTTTCTTATGCAGCTTGTACTACTGCCTTGCAATTTGTTGTTGCTACGGAGGTAGGAATGAAATGGGTATGTGGTGTTGGAGATCAATGTGCTTATTAGAGGATGTTTCATTAATGATGTGTGCAAAGGTAGATAACGTTAACTTCTCCAAAGTGACATGTCTTGTTATTTTTGCAGTAAACATTGCACTGACAGTCCCTTTCTCCTGGAACTACATTTGGCTAACTAACTAAGAAGCATCCCCCCCAACCCCTCTCCTGAATTTTAAAGTTGCCTGTGTTGTTTCATTGTATGGGCTTGCATGGTGCTGTCTGAACCTGGACAGCCTAGGCAACTTCACAACATTCTGCTTATTGTCTGTGGATCACAATTTGCATTCCACTTGGCTAAACTGACTAGAGCGGACAGGAATTGTTGGCCAAGAGAAGGCCACAGTTGTCTACCTTTGATATAACCCATCCTTCCAGAATCTCAGTCACATAGTGCTTGCCTCTAATTTTGGGGACTGGGCCACGACATTTTGAATTCCTGAAGAGGACATGATACACTCAGTTCCCACAATCAAGTCGCTGAGTACTAAAAATCTTACAACTTCCTCTCTGCGTTTATGGTGGTGAAAATGAAACCATAATGAATTGAACCACAAACAATTTCCTATTCTTTCATCTCAGCTAAAATGTGCTGAGTGGCTACCTCCTTATAGAGCTGGTGCTGCATAATACTCTTTTTAACTGAAGGCATTAGGGGTCTATCTGTCAACCTGCATATCTTCCAACACTGAATTAAAACCCCTCTGTTCCTTTGTTTGCCTTATGATGGGAGTCTTTTGCCTTGACTGAGTAACTTGGTTCTTTTTAAAAGAATTTGCTGCAACAATTTTTTTCACCCATCTGTCTTAGCCAAACTCAATAGTTATAGTCAGCATAAAGACAATTGCATTGTACCTGCCTGCCATATATATGATAGAAATCGTGATATAATATTTCATCCCTAATTCCTTGTTTTTGCTTCCTAACCCATTTGGGGGCACTTGCTACTATTCTTAAGTTTGTTTCTGTTTGTTCAAGGGGGAAGACGACACACTGCGATTGTTTCACAAGTGAGAGATGTGTTTCCTAGACACTCAAAAAGTGGATATATTGTCTGTCATCTCTGAGATCTGAAGTCTACAGTAAATCTCATTTATCCTTTCTGGCAAAGACCTATCAACCCTCAATCGGTGTACCACCTGGCTGAGCAGTGCAGCTGAAAAGAACAGTGTGGTAAGTTGTAGATCTTGAAGAAACATAGAGTTTGAGAGGAAAATATGGAAGTATGAATTCTTGGCTTTTTTAATGTAACTGTTTTCATGCAAGTTATGATTTATTTTTTGTTTAGATAGTGTCCCTGGAGCTGTACATAGAAGAGAGCCAAGCTAACAGGTCTCTTTCCATTGGGCTTATATGGTCCCTAGTAGAACACAGAAGTAACGCTGGAAAGTAACCTGTTACAAGTAGTAAATATTGCTACTTGTAACTGCTTATTTTTTGCTAGTACTTCTATCATCATGGTGTTTCTGATCTTGCTAAATGGAGATAGAGCACATGGTTCAAATACTTTCTTATGCGGCTTGTACTACTGCCTTGCAATTTGTTGTTGCTACGGAGGTAGGAATGAAATGGGTATGTGGTGTTGGAGATCAATGTGCTTATTAGAGGATGTTTCATTAATGATGTGTGCAAAGGTAGATAACGTTTAAGTTCTCCAAAGTGACATGTCTTGTTATTTTTGCAATAAACATTGCACTGACAGTCCCTTTCTCCTGGAACTACATTTGGCTAACTAACTAAGAAGCATCCCCCCCCAACCCCTCTCCTGAATTTTAAAGTTGCCTGTGTTGTTTTATTGTATGGGCTTGCATGGTGCTGTCTGAACCTGGAGAGCCTAGGCAACTTCACAACATTCTGCTTATTGTCTGTTTTGCTTTTTTTGGGGGGGGGTATTCTGGCAGGCTGTTGGGTCGTGGAAAAGTGGGCAAGGACTTTAATAGCATTTGGCACTGGAATCTTTCATACCTGGCAACAAGCCATTGGTCGCCTCTTTGGGACAAGTGTCTGTTCTAGTGGGCAGATCCTTCGTACTTTTACATCTCTTCTCCATGTGGGGGTGTATATGGCTGCTGAGTTCTGAGTAGAAGCAGAAGCAGTTAGAATTGGTCAGGCACAACTTTGGGTTTCATTCTGGAATGGGAGACTCTCTGGGCCCAGCAATGGGATGCCACTAGTGTGTGAGAATGCAGCCCTTCAGAAGGACAGTTGGCCGTGGAAACCAAGCTCCAGTTTTAAAATAATTATACTGTGAAAGCTCTCTGGCTGGTCTTGTGAATGTAGACTGTCCAGGTGCAAAAGCAGGACATCTTTTGGAAGTACTGTACGGATATCTTGTTATTAATTATGCAGGTTGACCGTTGCAGCTAAAGGTAATAAAAATGAATATTATTGTGAATATTGGCAATTCAGGGAATAAACCTATTATGTGTGACCTTTGTCACATTCCCTGGTGATTGAACAGCTTTGTCTTGTATCGATTGTAGGTTCTGTTGAATCTCAGATAATGATAGTGTATAATTTAAATGCCTTGGAATTCAAAGAAAATGAAAGGATTTATAGCCAGGATTTAAAACACTTCATACTGGCAAATAAGCAATTCATTTGCTGTTGAGTACATTATCCTGAGTCTTGTGTGCAACCTTTGCAGTAATTACTTATATAATGAGTTTACCACTTAGAATGATGGGCTAATATAACATGATGTTGCTTCATAAAAATGTGCTGAACAAATATTGATAGAGATGCAGGTGAAATAAAGCCAGTTACTTGACCTTTTTTCTATTAGGCTGTGGCATTTCAGATAGAATATTTTGAGATACTAGGAAAAATGAAAAGCAAAATCAGGATTGAAATGTGCAGCAAAGATCTGTCTTAGATAAGGTGATCTTTGTGATCACTATGTAACTATCTGAGGAAAATACAGTTAGAGCAGGATCTAATGGTAATGTATAGTGACCAGAACTATTTCCATTGATAGAAAAGGGGCATGGATTTCCCTTCCCTTGCAGCCTGTCCTACACCCACAGTTCCTGCTGTGGCATGCTGGGAAAATCTCCAGAGCACCACTTCCACAACCATAAGTACTGTATGCTGGGAAAATCTCCAGAGCACCACTTCCCCAACCATAAGTACTGTATTGTATTGTATTAAATGTGCCAATGAGTTCTTGGTTATTTTGGCTGCAGAGACTAAGGAATGAATAAAATGTTTCATCTGGAGTAGGCACATTGAAATCAACAGATCTTAGGCTAGTTATGACTCATTTGTCCAAATGTGAAATGTTGTGTGTAGAGAATGCTAAAATAATTAAGCAGGCTGTAAAAAATGCAATCCTGGAAGTCTAGCTTGTTCAGATTTTCAAATTTTCCAGTAATCCAGGGACAAGGACACAGAATAGGCCATTTATTCAACAGGAAGAAGATGGACAGATCATTCTAGGAGGTTTGCTCCCCAGACCCCCACACAATCATTCTAGCATAAAAACCAGAGAAGGCTGCTTAATTTATCTGGCCTCTCAACAGGAGGATGATTTTGTTAGATGGCCCTTTGGCTGGGCATTCATGTCTTCTGTGTAATTTTGGTAGGAGTTTATTGCTGTAATTTCCTCTTGAAGGCTTGGCTTACTTTGAGACCTGAGGCTATTTCTTCTCTGCCACTGATTTTAACCTACACTTAGTCTTGTCCTGATGAATTTTCCAATTAAAACAGTCTGCTGTGGTCATACGTGTCCTGGCAAAAATAAAATTCTGCAGAGGTGTTATACAATATTAAGGTCCTTTAAGGGGTTTATATGTCATGGTTAGCAGCTTAAATTGAGCATAGAAATTAACAGGAGGCCAATGAAGGTGTAGCAAGACTGGAAATATGTGTTCATATCTGCTGGTACCTATAATCAGTTTGGCTGCCACATTTTGGACCTGCTAGAGTTTCCATATTGACTTCAAGGGGAGCCCTACATAGAAAGTGTTACAGTACTCTATTCTGGGGATTGTTAACACAATTTATTTTTGTCTGTTTCAACTTAAGCTAAAATAGAGATGTTATGTTTAAATGCTAGGTATTAAGATATACTGTACACAATGGAAACTGTTGATTCTGATGTAGAGGGTGAAGAATCCATTCCAGTCTTTAATCCAAAATTTAGGTGGAGGGTTCAAAGTGCTAAAACACTATCTCAAAATGTGTTCTGCACTTTGAACACATTTAAGGTTTGGACTAACATCATCACACACAGGACATCGTAATCACCAGTTTTCACTGACTGGCCCCATCTGTAGACTCCATATTTCAAGGTCCAATTTCCACAGATTCCTCAGTGCATAGTCCTTATTCAAATGGGATCTTCTGTTTTAGAGCCTGGGGACCAAGCAAGCAGGTAGAATCTAGATATTCCAGTAGTTTTAGTTGCATACTAAATTTTAATGTTTTCAACCTTATCATTGGAATAATTGTGAGACAAGGAGATTGTTTTATATTTTTATGCTGAAATTAAAGAAATGAGTTGAAATAGATTGCACTGAGGTTGCATTACATTCAAGTTAATATGATTACACCAGTTTTATTTTTTACTCGGATTGTAATGTAAAGGTGTTATATATTGCTATACTTTTCTTTGTCTTCTAAGTTTATTCAAAATGGAAATAATAGATTGTTTTTGAGTAGATGGCAAACGATTGTTAGTGGGAGAGGTTAAGGTTCATGAGACAAGTGCTGAGAAAATGAAATCTCCACAGTCACTATTGGGGGGGGGCAACTTTATCAGTGAGGCAAAATTGAGCTGATGTCAAGGTTTTTATGAAGCATGAGGATAGGAATGTTATAAGAAAGACAAATTCAAATGCAAAATGGTGAAAGTCCTCTGAAATAAATAAAGTAGGGATAATTCCATTTTTGAAGGCATATCAAAGCATCTGAAAACACTCTTCCCTTTTGTAACAAGCAAGAGTGGATTTTCTTCTTCTGAAGAGAACAAGTGCAAGAAATAAAGAAAGGGCAGCAAAGATGGGGCCAGCCTGGCCTCTCATGGGAAGAAATTCCAAAGTATGAGAGCAGCAACAGAGAAGGGCCTCTCCTGTATCTCCACCAATATGCCTGTGAATTTGGCAGGACTGAGAGAAAGGCCTCCCCTGATGTCGTTAACACTTGAGCAGTCTCATAAAGTGAAATGTAGTCCTTGAGATTGCTTGGATCCAAGCCAAGTAGGGCTTCATATGTTAAAGCCGGCAAAGAAAAATCAGGAAAAATCAGGCAGAGGGAATTGTGAAATACTATTTAAGCCTCCCTGCTTTCTTTCTTAATATAATCATAGCCAAAAGATATGTGCTACCATACCTTCACTACTAATATTATTTCTCTGAAAAAAACACAACAACCCAGTATTTTATATAGATCATTTCAGAAAAATGCCACAATTATTTTAATAAGTACCACTGTTGGTTTTCTTGAGTTTATGGAGACACAAATAAGACATATGAACAGTTGGAGGTAACGTTCTCCCCACTTTAGTGCACATTAAATTGTACTTCAGTGCCAAATTCATTTAACGTTTCTTTGTTTCTCTTCTCCTTGAATTCCTTAGAGTGTGCCTTGACTTCACTGTCTTATAATGATTTTATACTAGCTGCTGTTACTTAATTGTCCTAGATTCTTTTACAAGTCTCCAGTGAATGAACTGAGTAAAACTACAGTTTGCAATTGTGGCCTTTGTGTATTATGGCACTACTAAATAGGGATGGGACTTCAGATTGGAAATAAATAAAAACTCCCATAAAAAGGCTCTTTCTTTTGCTTTCATGGTTTTTTATTGGTTTCTGAAAAAGAGCCTCTTAACCATAAGTTTAGTTTAAATGAAAGAGGGCTAAACAAAAAATTTGTATCTCTTCCCCCCCTCTTTCATTCATTCTTTCACCTTGTATCTGTCTGTCAAATCACCTGGGAAACATTTAATCAAATAGCATAGCAAGAGCTGCTATCAGCAGCCCACTAGAACACCACCGTTTAAGGGACTGGAATATAGGAAAGCTCTTGCTTTCCTTGTTTTAATCAAATAGCATAGCAAGAGCTGCTACCAGCAGCCCACTAGAACACCACCGTCTAAGGGACTGGAATATATAAGAGAAAGATTGCTTCATCACCATCCCCACTGCAAACCCACCCCTAGGGTGGATTTGATT